TTTCAGAGGCTCTTATCTTGGCCAAATTTGGGTCATGCAAAAAGCACTTTCTTGCCAAATTGCAAGTCCCTGCTCCAGAGTTTGGAAGAGACAGAGCTTCTCAGTTAAATTCAGTAAGAATATTTTCACATGGGCAAATTGACTTTTTCTAAATAATCTGAAATTATTTAACTGCTTTCTTTGCGGGGGGGGGGGGCGGTTAATAAACCATATGCTTTAAAATGAAAAGGTTAGGCAGCCTTAAGTATCACTATGCTGTATTAGAATTAGCAAAAGGCAGGTAGCTATAAAGGTTTTATGGACTAACCAAGATTATATATAGGGAGAGGGATAGGACAAGTGCACAAGCTTTTGTCAACCCAAGTTCACTTCCTCATATACTGTGAAAGGATGGCAAAGAGCAGAGTGTAAAGTGGAATGAGTGATTTAAAAATACAATAGGTAAGAGAGCAGAAAGGAGGAGGAGAGGGAGTTCTCTGAGAGGCATACAAGCAAAGAACTCAGGAACAAAGGGGTCACCAAAGTTATTCCTGGTAATGAGATAATCAGTAGTTCCTGTTTAAACTGTACGGTCTCAAGTTGCAGCAAGGGAAGTTTAGGTTAGATACTAGGAAAAACTCTCTCATGAAGAGGGTAAGTAAATCACTGGAGCAGGCTACCCAGAGCGGTGATGGAAGCTCCATCTGTGGAGGTTTGCAAGACCTGGCTAGACAAAGCTTTGGCTGGATAATCTAGTTGGGCCTGGTTCTGCTCTGAGCAGGCGGTTGGACTAGATGACTTCCTGACGTCCCTTCTGACCCTAATTTTCTATGATTCTAAATCTAGTCTAGTTAGTGGATAATTTTTGTTCTTCAATTTCACATTCAAACTAGTTTTTAAAAATTTTCTGCCTGAGAACAGCAAACCTGAGGTTAGCAATGGAGTGTCCAAGGAAATTGTTCTGCCACAGGCTTTTGTGTCTTTCTGCAGCTGATATCTGGGCAGTCTCTTACATATAGAGATTGCCCTGTCAGTCTAATGTAGACAGCAGATGGGCATTGTAAGCAGGTGATAGTGTATGACATTGGGAGAGTTGCAGGTGAATGAACCTTAGAAGGCTTCATTATTATATCTAGTGATGATGTGGTCTGTATTGGTGTGGGGACACACCAGGCACTTGGGTCCATTACAAGGCCAGGTGCCTTGTTGAGGATGGGAGTTCATTAGTCTGTTGTTTGAGAGAGACTGTTTGAAGCTGGGCTGTCTGTAAGCCAGGACAGGTTTGTCCCTGAAGGCTACCTTGAAATGGTCATCCTTTTCCAGAAGGGGTTGGAGGCCATTAATGATGTATCTTAGATGTTCAAGCGGGGGCCTGTAGGTAACAACCAGAGTCCTGGGGTTGGTAATTGAAGCAGGTCAAAATGATGTCAGTCTGGCTTTGTTGATTTGAGGGCCTACAGTTTTGGGATGATATTGTAACTGTAGGAGTCTGTGCTCCATATGCTTAAGACATTCATCCCAGTCAGTGGGATCAGAACACTTGTAGCACAGAGCGTGGCTGTAAATGATTAATCTAATGGTGTGATTAGTAGGGGTTCACCGATAGATTTTTGGGGCCAATACTGATACCTGATTTTTAAGGAGGCATATCAGCCGATACCAATCTGATTTCTGATACAGCTGCATCCAGCTGGTAAGTCTGTTGTGGTGGAGGGGGAGGGGAGGGAAGGGGCATGGGGGAGTGGATCACCACCCCGTAGGCCCCCCTCCCAGCACTGCTGCCGTCGCCTGCCCTGAGCGCAGTCCAGCCCAGTCCCTGCAGGGAAGAGCCCAGTCCCTGCAGTCTGAAGTCAGCCACCCCAAAATTCACCATAGCCTCCTCCCCAATCCTCCTCCCAGTGCTACCACCACCCATCCTGAGCGCAGCCCTGGCCCAACCTGCCCCACCCCCATGCCAGGAAGAGCCCAGCCCACTGCTGCAACCCACCCCACCTTGTGCAGATCCGGGTGCACACCCACCCCTACCCATGCACTCCCAGGGTACGCGCACCAGTGGGAGCCGCCCCCCCATCCCCACACCCCCCGACAAGCTATGGCTCCATCCCATGCCCTGCCCCAGCTGGGCATTAACTGCCCCAGCCCCACTTCCTCCCTCACCATGGGGACCTTGATCTGCCCCCCCATCCCTACCATGCTACCTCCCTCCCCTTCCACCACAACAGACTTACCAGCTGGATGCAGCTCTCCATGCTGCCAGGTTGTGCTCCTCGCTGCTTGCATGCTGCACTGCAGCTGCACACGTGCACGGGGCATTTATCTGCCAAATTATTGGCCACATCAAGCTGATTTCCAATACCGTCAGTCAATTTTCTTTTTATCGGTGCCAATCCGATATCAGATAGATGTCATGCACCTCTAGTGCTTAGGATGAAAACTGCTAGAGTGAAGGTAGCTGTGCTGGCTGTCTGATTTCCAGTACAATGTGCTGTAATGTCTAAGAAATGAATCTGCTACATGGATGGTACCACAGTCAGCCGAATTCTTCTAATCTCTATGCTACCCTTTTACAACATCTGATTAAGTGAAATTGGATTCATGAAAGCTTGTGCTCTATATGTATATCTTATTTAGTCTATAAAGGTGCATATCTACCCTGTCTTCTGACTGACTTCAGACTAACATGGCTACTTGTCTTACAATTATCAAAGTAGAAGGTCCAATATGAAAGAGGTGCTGGAAGGCTAAAATGTGATAGGGATCCTTTTGTAAATATAGGCAACTTTTTGTATAACCTCTGTTTCCTGATATCAAAACCCATCAGGTCACTGTCTGATGAGATGACAACAAATCTAAGTCAATAGGAAGGCTAGCTGTTTGCAAAACTTCATTTGGAAGATTTGAAATAGGGATGTAGGTGTAGTTCTTAAAAATTACATCAATTAAATGGTCCTGTGGCAGAGAGGCAGGGCAGGGTGGTGCAGGGAGCCAAGGACAAGGGCAATATGTAGGATTGCAGTGAGTTCTGCTGCCACCTGGGACTGAGGCCCGTGGCCACAGCAAGCTCTGAACAGTGTGTGTGCAGGCAGCAGCAACAGCATGGTGTGGCAGGGTCCAAGGCTTGGTGCTGCCCATTGTTGGGGGGAGCAGCTCCCACAGGGGCTGCCTGGGAAGTAGCATGGATCTGGGCTGCAGCACTGCAGCTGTGGCAGGAAGGTAACTAGTGGTTACCTGGGAGAATAGAGCTGGGCAGTTTCATGGCAGAGCCAGCAGGGCTTAAATAGGAGCAAGTGCAACCACAGGCTGCACTGAGCCGAGTGTGTCCTTCTCTCTCCCTGCCCCCTCTCTCCCCACAGCACCCATTTGGATACAGCCAGGCCAGCACCATGCTCCTTCCACTCAGCTGAGGGCTTGCCCCAGTGCTGCAGCTCTTAGCAGCGGGTACTCAGCCCACATGTGGATGCCTCAGGCATGATCCTGTACAATGCAACATGTCCATCTGCCCTGGGCTGGGCTGGGAGAACTGCTGCGGGTCCTTGCTGAGCAGCAGCTGCCAGGCAGGAGTGCGCAGGAGTTCTCTGGGTGCCCACCACCTGGAGGCTCCACTTGGTCACAGCACAGCTGTCCCAGGAGTTGGAAACCCCTGGGGGTGCTATGGTGGGAGTACCTGGCTATGTGCAGCCTGCCCCTGCAGTACCCGATGGCAGCCCCACTGTTGCACTTGTTCCTGTGTAAGCCTTGCCAGTTCTGTCGCACAGTTTTGCCTGGTCCCGCTCCCCCAAGTAACTGCTAGTTTCCTCCCTGCCGCAGCAGCTATGTAATGCTGTGGCCCAGAGATGCACCATCTCCCAGGCAGTCCCTACCAGAGCCACTCGCCCAACAGTGGGCAGCGTCGAGCCAGGAAGTAAATGGTAAACATTAAATGGTATAATTACTGTTTAACCATTTAATGTTTAACATCCTTGATTTGAAAAAAAACCTTTTGTTTGAGCCTGTTCTTCTGTTTTCTTCTAAGAGAAATTGCTGCTCTTCAGGAGAGACTGTCCTCATCTGAGGAAACGATTCAGAAGCTGTTGAATCAGATCCAGGAAAAGGACGACTTAATTTTACAGCTGAAGCACAGGAGTCAACTTTTGACTAAAATTTGCAGAAGCCGACCTGCCCTAGACAATCTTCTGTCTTACATGGCAGAAGGGGAACAGTTAGGTTCCTTTCCAGGGAGCCAAAGCAGTTCTAATTCTCCAATTCATGAAGGGCTGCAAGAGACAGACTGCATGGCCAATCAAATATCAAACAACAAAGACTTCTCTCTCAGCGAAGATGAGCTGGAAGAGCAAGATTTGGATAAAACCCTCTTTGGTACAACTGTATGAACAAGAGAAAAGGAATTTGAGCTTTATTACAAATTTTTCAACACAATTTTTCAGTCTTCATTTTTAATCTGAAAGAAGCAGGTTCATCTGAGAGTTCTTCCCCCACCTTGGGTCTTGCAAGTAGCTTCTTCTATACCTCCATCATTGTGAACTGGGGAAAGGGGGGATTGATTGTATGCCATATTCAAAGTTAGAGTATGTTGGGGCAATGAGGACTTAAAAGTTTCCTCTTTTCCTTAATAATAGGAACATTTTAATTATGCTTTTTCAGTAGCATTTGTTTTTCCTCAGACCCAAAAGATACTCCACTTCCAAGAATACAAGTCAGACACTATCTGTGTAGTAATCCTTTCAGCTCTATAGGATACAATATATTGCTACCTGCTTCTACTGGTCCTCTCTCAGTCTGCAGTATATCAGAGTGGTAGACAGTGATTTTTAGAGTAGCATGGTTATATGATCAGACAGAACAAGGAGCAATGGTCTCAGTTGCAGCAAGGGCTTAGGTTAGATACTGGGGAAAAAACCTCTCTCACCAGAAGGGTAGTAAAGCATTGGAAAAGGCTACACAGAGGCTGTAGAATCCTTGGAGGTTTTTAAGACCCAACTAAACAAAAGCCTTGGCTGGGATGATCCAGTTGGGGTCCTGCTTTGAGCAGGGGGGTTGGACTAGATAGCCTCCTGAGGTCCTTTCCAACCCTAATTTTCTAATTCTAGGATATATTTTAGGAAACATAATTGCTGACTTCATAACCCTTTAAAATTTTGTATAATCCTAGAAATGAAACATCTTAAGTGTTCCACACACTATTATTTCAATCAGCAGAAGGAGGACTTTAAAATCGACAAAAGCTGCTTTTACTTGGAGAAGTTGAGCTACGTACTTGAAAGTGTTGTTGAATTCTTAACCTGCCATTTAGATATGTAGTGATATAATCAGTGAGATTTGAATTCACTAGTTGAATTCTACATTTGTTTTGGGTGAAAGTCATTTTCAGTAAATTTTAACCACTTTAATTATTTGGTTAGTGACACTTATGCATAGACTCAACTGAGAGGCACCAGAATGCTGCTTGCTTTGTGCCCAGATTGAAGAAAACCAGGAATTTGAGGCAGGTTCCTGGTGATTGGGGGGGGGGGGGGGGCATTCGCCCCCCCCCAAAAGGGGGCGGTGGCAAGAGGGGG